TTATCTATATCCCATGGCTTCCATTACCTCAAATATAAGTTTGAACTTATTTCAGGAAGTATAATTATTATCATTTGGAATGGCAGTTCAAAAAGAAAAAAATGCTTTATTTCTATAAATACCTTTAACGTTTTGAGCAGTGCAAAAATTCAGAGTTGATGTACAATCCATAATGCAAGAAATGCAAGCTGAATCATATTTTGCTGTGGCATTCATCCCTTGACTTCCACTTGCTCAAATGAGACGGTCTTAAGTAATATCATTAAGAACAAATATATCACCCTCTGGCAGTGAAGAAGTTCCATTACTCAGTCCCATGTTTGCAAATTGCATGTGTCTTCAGTCTGCCAGGGGATGTACCCAATCCTTAAAAGCATTAAAAGAAAAGAGTGAAATAAAAAGAAAAGAAATGAAAGATAGATAGAAAGTCAGCTGCAAGCAATTTAACAAAATTGACATTTAACCTTTTGTAGCACAATTCATCCTCCAAACAAAAAAAAAAAAATAGAAATAATTTTGTTTATAAATGCTTGAAAATGTTCTGCTTCTCCTCCTCTTTCTATATTAAGATAATATATGCATGTCCATTTGTACTTGTGCAATAATATGCATTGCAGAGGTATACAATCCATGATGGTCATATGCATCAACACATATTATATGCATGTTTCAAAACACATGCTTATATATTATTTTTAATAATTGGGTGAATTCACGTGGACCTACAAATAGGATTATGTAGAAAAAACATATATATACAGATTACTGAACATATAAAATAAATGCATTATACAAAATGCATTCAGTTATAAATGAAATTACATTCTCCAAACTTAACAGGTTAGGTTTCTAGGAATACCAAAGACATATAGCCCTCACAGTGCACACTGTAAGGGCATAAAATGTGCTTCCACTGAGAAAAATAATTTCAGAATATTCAGATCCATGGACTTAGTAAGGCTGTACATGATGGTGTCATTAGACTGACATGCCACTTTCCAGACAGAATCACCGCTTTAACAGCACAGCACTGGCCACCCAATTATGGCTCACTCACCTTCATCATAAATTCATCCCTACAACTTTGGAAGGTATGATTTTATTGGTCATCAAAAGCTATAACAGTTCTTAAGGACCGTAACTAAAAATATGTCCTATGGAAAGAATATAGAGTGTTTTAAAGTGAATATATGTGACACATTAAAATTGATGTGTTATAAATGGAAACACTTTTTTAAGTACACAAATTCTGTCACATATCATAATTTGTGCATGGATCCTCTTTCTACCACTGATATTGCATGGACATGGGCCAGGAGTTCCAGCTACATCAGCCCTTATTTTAATCCAGCCCTGCTTATGACCTACCTGCCAGGCCAGCATAACTATAAACTAGCAACTGGTCAGTCTAACACTATGGGTAAGGAGCCTATAAAGTAATTAAAGGAACCTGAAACCCTCCTGCTGACATACTAAGGAGATTCCATTTTTCAGGTCCAAGCTGACAATTATCCCTTTCCCAAGTGTGCACTAAGACAATTATTCTAGTAATCTAGCTCCTTTGTGTCAGTTTTATGTACCTCTCCGAGTGCAAACTATCTAAACCTACAACAAGGTAGTAAAAGATTCCCAAGACTCTAGTTATCAGGTATAACAATAACCTCAATGTTGATCTAATATAAAAACTAAAATATATATTGACTCTCTCCTTACCTCTAACAATTATTACTAAGGAGGGTTATTTTCTGACATGAATTAGCCTGTAAGTTAAAATAAGGAAACTAGATAGGAAAGTCCAAAATATTACTACTGGTTTTAAGTGTGGGTACACTAAAATTAATGACATTGGAGATGTACAATTGATGGGTAATGGTGCCAGAAGGAGACAAAGGTCTAGAACACCATAAATAATCAACAGGACAGGAATCAATTTCAAATGATAAGAAACAGGACTGGGGGTCAATAATGAGATTAGCAACTTACATTTAATGCTCTGACAAGAGCCTGAGGTAGGGTTTAAATAGACAGATGATTCATAAATTTCATCTAGACAACACCTTGCAAGCAATGAAGCAAGCATAACAATGAAATCTGAGTATCAAAGAACTTAGACCATGATTTAGCTAAGCCACAGCCAAACCAAAAATATATATGACTTAAAGATTTTTTTTTCCATTTTGGCTATTTTATCATAAAATCTAAAATACCACTTGAAGTAATTTTGCATTCCTGGCTATTCATACATTAGTAATTTGGAGTTGGAGGAAAATAATTGAGGTAGTAAAAAGGAACTTACTATGAAGAGATGAAAAGAGATATTGATTAGAGTTGAGCGGAAAAAAAGTCCGGGTTCGGGATCGAACTTGACCCCGAATTTGACCCTGAACCCGAACCCCATTGAAGTCAATGGGTACCCGAACTGGAAACAAATGTGGATAGGGAAATCACTTAAAATAACATAAAACATACAAATTAAAAATACAGCTGAGCCATAAAATAGCACTAGATGGAATCTTTGATTTTAGCTTTGGAAGAACATAAATCAAAATATTAAACATGGCTGTCAGGAGGATCAACAGAATTATCCATTTGAGAGAGGGTTGGGTGTTCTCTTTCATTGTTCAAACTGAGCTCAACTCCTTGTTGCGGAGGGGCAGGGGTTAATCCAATAGCTCTCCGCTGGGAACAAAGATTCAGTATACAAAGTCACAGGAACACAGCATAATCCACCTCCCCAAGGACTAGACGACACATAGTCTGGGAGTCAACTGTCAGCTTTATTCACAGGTCTGCTTTTATGCATTTCTCCCATGCAAGGGAGGTAACTTTCATAATTAGTACAGTAGCCAATTGTAACCCGGTCACCTCCCCTTAGATTAGCACTTAAACAGATTAGTGGGGACAGAGTTTTCCCCACTTTCTGGATGTCCCCTAAATACAGGGGGTACAGGGACAAATAAGGGGTCCCCTGGTAGGTCTGATCTGGGTGAACAACATACTTGAAATTCACCCAGATCGGACCAGGGGTTCGAGAGTTACAGACAGTTAAAGATTTGACCGACCGCAGGGACTCAGTAGCCGAAAACAGTTCCATGAATTCTGGCCCTGCGGTCGGTCTATTTTAGTGAATCAAAAATACCGAACAGCTTAGCCATCCCTGCGATTGCTAGCATTCGTATGAATCCCCTCGTTTAGGTGAATCTATCTACCGAACGCCGGGGCGTTCGTGTGTTTGATTCGTGCTGTCGGAGCATGCTGGAGGTCTTAGCGGTGCTTGGTTAGTCGAATGCCCGGTTTGAGTTCCAGGCGTTCGACAACCAAGTACCGCTGTTCGTGCGTAAGATGGCCGCCGCCACGTGTTCGGTAGGCGAAATGGCGGCCACACATACAGGTACTTAATTCCCTTCTCAACATTGTATCGCTCAGCTAATTGGAAACACACGGCCACCCCGGGGTGGTCTCCCGTTCGGTAGTTTCGGGCATTCGCATAAAAACAGTAAAATAACATGAAAGTCCACTCGTGTAGTTATTCCCTTGGTGAAATTCACCCATTCACATAGAATGATTAGTTCAAGTGGCAGGGTTTGCCACACTCCTGATGCATGGAGAAAAGTCCTTCACAAGCCTCTGCTATTTTGTACATAGTTTATACTAAGTCACCCATAGTTTGAGGAGGCGGTGACCGTGGCGGCGTAGGTGGAAGCAGCAGTGGAGGACGTAGCCAACACTGTTTTTTATATATATATTTTTTTTTTAATTGAGGAAGCCCCCAAAATATTGGGACATATAAAAAAAGAAACATTTGCGGCCTGCGGTGCATTTCTTGCAGTCCAATAACGCCATCAGGTTTTTAAAACTGTCCGTCTCCACCAGACGGAATGACAGCATTTCAGAGGCCACGAATTTTGAAATGCTGGCATTCAGAGCCATGGATCGCGGGTGGCTAGGGGGGTACTTCCTCTTTTTCTCCAGTGTTTGGGAGATGGACAGCTTCCATGGGACAGTGTGGAGATGCTGGACAATTGTGTACCTGGCCTATGCTGATGCAGGAACCCCCCTTCCGAGCCACTTGTGAATGACTGGCCTGATAATCGTGAAAATGACCCCTCTTCCTCCTCCTCTTCCTCATGTGCCACATCCTCTTCCATCATCGCCCAAAGCGTTTTTTCAAGGAGACATAGAAGCGGGATAGTAAGGCTGAGAACCGCGTCATCGGCACTGGCCATGTTGGTGGAGTACACAAACAGCGCAACATGGCACACAGGTCTCGCATGGAGGCCCACTCATTGGTTGTGAAGTGGTGCTGTTCCGCAGAGCGACGGACCCGTGCGTGCTGCAGCTGAAACTCCACTATCACCTGCTGCTGCTCGCACAGTCTCTCCAGCATGTGCAAGGTGGAGTACCACCTTGTGGGCACATCACATATGAGGCGGTGAGTGGGAAAGTTGAAGTTACGGTGCAGCGCAGACAGGCGAGCAGCAACAGGGTGAGAATGCCAAAAGCACGCACAGACGGCACACACTTTCTGCAGCAGCTCTGATATATATGGGTAATTTTTCACTAATTTCTGCACCAACAAATTTAGCACATGCGCTAGGCAATGGATGTGTGTCGAACCGGCTAGGCCCACAGCTGCTATGAGATTTCGCCCATTATTGCACACCATCAGGCCGGGCTTGAGGCTCAGTTGCAACAACCACTCATCGGTCTGTTGTTCCAGGCCTATCCACAACTCCTGTGCAGTGTGGGTTTTTCCCCCAAACATGAGTTTTAAAACAGCCTGCTGTCGTTTCCCCTTGGCTGTGCTGAAGTTGGTGGTGAAGGTGTTACGCTGACCGGATGAGGAGGTGGTAGAGGAGGAGGAAGCGGAGTAGGAGGCAACAGGAAGCAAAGCTGTGTACCAAAATAAAGATTGTCAAAAGTTGTATCCTGGAACTGTGTCACATCCGGTTACTGGGGAAATGGGTCTGACCTATGCTAATCAAAGGGGATAACTATCGGTTACCCAGGTCCTGCTTCAATTGGTGGCAAGCGGCAGGATCCCATGTCCCTGCCAACAGACCCATGGACTACAGTGCTCTAAAGTGACCTACACTGCAGGACTTGTGTGGAGCCAGAGGAATAATGCCTGGTGGGCGTAACAAGGCCGAATTGACTGCTGCGCTCATGGAGGACGACCAGGCATGCAGTGAGGCAATGAACCCCAGCCAGGGGCCGGAGATGAGGAGGAAGTGCGCAAGGAGGTGGAACGGCGCCTGGCATATTACCAAGAGGCACCCTCAGAGGAGATTGTCAGCAGGACCTTTTTGGAGGTGCAAGCCTATGTCCTTGCCAATAGACAGAGAGCGACCTCCATGAACCCAGATGAAGGAAGAAGGGAAGAGATGGCGCCGGGAACCACAACCACCCTGGCCCACAAGCTACCATACAATGCCTTCAAAGAGTTCAAGGAAGCAGAAGAAGGCATCAGTGACTTTTTACTAGACTTTGAGTGCCAGTGCCTACTCCAAGACGTGGACCCCAGCGATTGGGTCACCATCCTGGTCAGCAAACTAGTGGGGAAGCCAGCGAACATTTACCGGGCTCTACCAGAAGAGCAGATCTGAGACTATTGCTTTATTACACAAATCCTCCTGGCCCGTGATGCGGTCACCCCCAAACAATACAGCCGAAAGTTTAGGGAGACCCGGAAAGGGGAGAAGGACTCCCATTCGGAGTGGGCATGCCACATCACAAGGGCCATCCAGAACTGGCTCAACTCCCATCAAACCAAGTTACTGGAGGAGATCACCCAGCTCGTCATGCTAGAGCACTTTTTCAATGGGCTCCCAAACGACACGGCTGGTGAGAGACCGCCAGCCCCAGACCCAAGAAGTATTGGTATGAGCTGCTGAAGCTAGCTCACGATATCCCCTTGGCAGGGCATTTGGGCAGGAGTCGGACAGCGTCTCGGCTCACCCACAGCTTCTTCTGGCCAGGCATCTCTCAGGATCTGAGACAGCCAGATGTCTGCCAGAGAGTGGGGAAGAGAAGGGACCGGCACAGGGCCCCCCTCCATCCCCTACCTATTAGTAAAGATCCTTTAGGCAGAGTAGCTGTCGACATTATAGTTGCGCAGGCATTTAGGTGACTCTAGAGAACCTCGGGCCAATCGCACGTCCCTGTGACGGCGACGACGCATTCGGATGTCTGCCCTATCAACTTTCGATGAACTTTCTGCACCTACCATGGTGACCACAGGTAACGGGGAATCAGGGTTAGATTCCGGAGAGGAAGCCTGAGAAATGGCTACTACAACCAAGGAAGGCAGCAGGCGCGCAAATTACCCACTCCCGAACGGGGAGATAGTGACGATAAATAACAATACAGTACTCTTTAGAGGCCCTGTAATTGTAATGAGTTCACTTGAAATCCTTTAACTAGGATCTATTGGAGGGCAAGTCTGGTGCAGAGCGGCTGACCCGGGCGTGCTGCAGCTGAAACTCCACTATCGCCTGCTGCTGCTCGCACAGTCTCTCCAGCATGTGCAAGGTGGAGTTCCACCTTGTGGGCACGTCGCATATGAGGCTGTGAGCGGGAATGCCAAAGTTACGCTGCAGTGCAGACAGGCGAGCAGCAGCAGGGTGAGAACTCCGAAAGCGCGCACAGCCGCTACAGTGAATGTCACATCCTGTTCCAAGTTGCAGATCAGTCTGGTGATGGCTTCTGGTATCCAGTACTCTTTTTACTGAAGCTGCATCAGGGTCCTGGTATGTGGTGCTCAACACCAGGGGGCGTGCGGTTACCCTGCATCAGACCCTGCTAATCCATTCCACACTGTGACTCCTAACTTCAACATCAGGCATACTGGGTCCCGGTCGTCCGACCGACACCCATACAGTGTCTGGGTCCCGGTCACCGGACTGCTGCACTCAGTGTGAAACTTCAAATGGCTGGTTAAATCTGGTACGAACCCAGTTCGGGTTTGCTCAACTCTTTTATGGATACTTTGATCGCTCCATCTGTTACTTGGATAACTGTGGTAATTCTTGAGCTAATACATGCCAACGAGCGCTAGGGGATGGCCGCTCCGCTTTTGCACCCTGCTCCCTCTTATGCTGTGCTGGTGCCTCTGTGCGACCAGCGCCTCTTCCTCCAAACTGCACACGTCACTCGCATGACCTTGATTCCATGTGGGGTCAAGGACCTCATCATCTTCCACATCATCTTCCACCCACTCCTCAACCCTGCCCTCCTTGCTGGTCTGCACACTGATTATTGACTTTCAGATATCAAGTGCACTGCAGCCCGCAAATGTACTATTTAGCACCCAAAACTATTTAAATTTTTAAAAGTGCGCTGTAAGCACAGTGTTTGACGGTTCTATTTGACTGTCAGATATGAAGTGCACACCCCAAATTTACTTTTTATCACCCAAAAAATTTGAATGGGTCAAAGTGCGCTGTAAGCACAGTATTTGATGGTTCTATTTGACTCTTAGATATGAAGTGCACCGCAGGACGCAAATGTACTATTTAGCTTTAGCACCCAAAGCAATTAGAATTTTGAAAAGTGCGCTGTAAGCACAGTGTTTGACGGTTCTATTTGACTCTCAGATATGAAGTGCACCGCATGACGCAAATGTACTATTTAGCACAAAAAAGTGTGATTTTTTTTTTTTAAACCAACAATGTAACAGTAGTATTTAAGGGTTTTATTAAACTGCAAGAAATGCAGTACGCAAATGTACTATTTAGCACCCAAAAAATTGCAGTATTTAAAAATGCCTAGATGTTGCCCACTGAGCTACCAGAACAGGATTAAAGTCATGTGCCTGGCACACATGCAGTTGCAAGTGTACTGCACTCTCTGTGGCACTGGGCTCAGGGCATGGTACAAAAATGTAGTATAGCACCCACTAAAATAATCATTGTAGTTTGCAGGTTCAATACCAGAATTCTTTCCTAAGCTGTCCCTCACAGCTGCAGCATTCTTTCCCTACACTAATAAGAGCTCATGTGACGTGCGGCGCTACGTGACTCCAGCTTTTATATAGAGGCTGGGTCACATACTGCACTGGCCAATCACAGCCATACCATTAGTAGGCATGGCTGTGATGGCTTCTAAGGGCAAACGAGTCAAACACTTGTTGATTGGCTGCCCTGCAGCCTTTCAAAACGCACCATTAAATCGACGAACACCAAACTCCAACCCGAACATACACTGAAATGTCCGTGTTCGGATCCAGGGTCCAAAAACCGTCATGTTCGGTACGAACCTGAACGTTGCGGTTCGGGTTCGCTCAACTCTAATATTGATCTAAAATGGATTCAAGGAAAAGCATGAAGCTTTGGAAAATGGGGATAACACAGAGGATTTGATAATTGAGTTTCACTGAAGGGGAGAAAAAACAAGATATATATCTTTTATAGAGTGGGAATTGATATTGAGGGTTGTAAAATAAGATGCAGAACTAAAAATAAGTGTTTTATGGAGGACAGTTTATTCAGAGGTGGAAGATGAAAAAGAACATTTCTAAGGGGTTTGATGCTGGAGAATCAGAGAGGGAACTGTTATATTGATGGAAGTTGAGAGAACTTGTTTTGTTATTTTGAGCTATAATAGCTTTTTTTCTTATACTATCCAGGTAATCAATCTGAGGGAAATTAGCTGCAGCATACATGGATGTGAGTTTTGAATGTTTATCTTCTTGAAGGAAAGGGTAATGCAGAACAATTTGGACTTTGGACAATCCTTGCTATAAATATGATGAAACCATAAACTAATTATAATTACATTGGGGTATGTCTATCTTGGTAGCAGGGTGCTGGAGAGCACGTAACATATGTTTATATTAGTCAATAGATATACCTGTAGTTGATAAATTGTAGTTACTCATTCCCTTACATATAATTAATCTATTATTAATCATATGTGCATTAATGTGTGCAAATAGATTATTTTATAAACCTAATTTAACACAACAATAAAGCCACTGGATTTTTGTACACGTTGTTATTTTTTATAGTGATGTTGCTGGGCCAGGTTCCAATGGTTAGAACCTTCAAGAGCATGTAAGATAGTGAAGTTGGCTGACATCAGGGATGGCAGAATACATGCAGATGTCAGAAAATCAATGATAGGACAGACAGTAATTGTACAGAACAGACAGGCAAGCCTAATTGAGAGAAAAAGAAGGCTGTGGTCTGGAAATAAACAGGCAAGATGCTAGTGACTGGATACACACAGGAAGGCAGTTATACATGAGCAGATCATTTTCATATTCACTAGAAGGTCAAATGTTGAGACAAGAAAAAAAAAGAGTTTAAAACCAATATCATTGGAAAAACAATAAAGATCAAGAATTAGATGTATAACATGACACCATCCAACACAAAACACACTGGGATAGGCAATGAATAGATATGACATACACTAATACAAGGATTGGTATTTTACAAACAGAATCATATGAAGACAGGAGAATGGAATTAACAGACCTCAGGACACAGGAATATCATGATATATGATAGTGATTTTGTGTATATAGGTGCTTATAGCAATAGTAATACAAAAAAGAAAATCTGTGCTGCTTCCAAAAATGTGCAAGTCTCTCACTCCTTAACACAGACAGATAGTAGAAATTATGTTCATCTGTGTGGTGTAAAAAAACCAACCCTAGGTTAAAGGCAGAGTGCATAGAATGAAATAACTCCCCTGGAACTAGTGTGGAACTTGATGGGGGAAATAGCAAATAGTGTAGTATATGAAAATAGGCCAAAATAAAGTTTGGTGATTGGGTTCACTCATATGGTTCTGACCCTTTCTTATGATGCTGGAACACCTGGATCTGGAGTCCACAGGAGAAGATATTGTTGAAAAATAAAATTTCTTGTGATTAAAACACTACAGATATAAAATAATAAATAGGGTAACAAATGTTCAGAATTGGACCCCGTGGGTGCTCCCAAGACGCGTTTCGCTGTGTCAGCTTTCTCAATCAGTATGCAGTTCCAGTTGTCCAGCCTTCTTTTTTAAATCCGTAGATGGAGTCCTTATTAGATCATTGTTCTGCGGTTTGGGCCAACCACTATGTTCCCCACTGCTGTTATCCAATGTTGCTTGATTTGCTGATTCCGGTTACGTCCGCCAGAAGTGACGTGTCATTCCTATTGGTCACATATATGGCTGAGTCTGCAGACGCCATTTTACTGAATGGCAACAGAGTCTTTACAAATTTAAAACCTCTCCCATAAGAGGTAATAGGCAAAACAGAAACAGATGACAAGAAGATTAACATATTATCAGCATATCTATTTTAGTATTATGCATATAAATACTAATCCTCTAGTGCACACATTGCAAAGCACAGTGTATGAAAAAATAACAATTTAATTAAAGGACCACTCTAGGCACCCAGACCACGTCAGCTTAATGAAGTGGTCTGGGTGCCAGGTCCTTCTAGGGTTAACCCATTTTTTCATAATTATAGCAGTTTCAGAGAAACTGCTATAATTATGAATGGGTTAAGCCTTCCCCCTAATCCTCTAGTGGCTGTCTCATTGACAGCCACTAGAGGCGCTTGCGTGCTTCTCACTGTGAAAATCACAGCGAGAGCACGCCAGCGTCCATAGGAAAGCATTGTAAATGCTTTATGAGACCGGCTGAATGCGCGCGCAGCTCTTGCCGCGCGTGCGCATTCAGCCGGCGGGGCGTAACGGAGGCGGAGAGGAGGAGGAGAGCTCTCCGCCCAGCGCTGGAAAAAGGTAAGTTTTTACCCCTTTCCCCCTTCCAGAGCCGGGCGGGAGGGGTTCCCTGAGGGTGGGGGCACCCTCAGGGCACTATAGTGCCAGGAAAGCGAGTATGTTTTCCTGGCACTATAGTGGTCCTTTAAGGAACACATCAAGAATATATGAGATGGTAATATAAGGCATTTATACACAAATTTATAAAAAAACTTTTAGTTAAGAATGGTATTAAAAATATATATATATATTTATGATGGTAAGATAGAGGTTATAAATCTTACAACACAAATAAAAGTTGTTATATATAAAATGACGTTTAGAAAAAGTGACACAGTTCAAAATCACTTTTATTTTTGTTGTAAGATTCACTGAGAGAGCAAATCCTTTTGAAACAGAACTCCTGTACCATGGTCTGCTTCCCTCCTGCCGGGTCGCTCAAATTTGGCACCCCCTGGGCTGGTCCGCCCTAGGTAACTGCCTAAGTCACCTATAGGATGCGCTGGCCCTGTCTCCAACCTTTAAGCCAAATCGTGTTCCAATACATGGAGCACATGCCTTAGACCACGATATGGTAATGTTGCTCCTTGAGGTTTTGGCACTCGCTGAGACACTCACTGGGAGTCTGCCATTTACTCTGGTTCACACCAGAACCACGGATTCTGAAGCTGCAATGGCTAGATATGCGCTCACACTTCCTGCTCCAAATATTGTCCTCTTTCCCATAGTAAGGCTAGACACCAAAACAAACTGCATGCCTGGTGCATTGAACTGCATTTATCGGGCATTGGGAGAAACAAATTATGCATCCATGTGTGTCATCTGCTTTGGTGCGTGTATCCCCTTGTGTACATGTACCACTGATTGAGAAATCAGACTCTAAGGTGAAGTGAGCCTTTCCCTTATAATTGAAACATTAGCATTATGTACAGCACCTATGTTTCCATGTTTCACCTCTACTGTGAAAATCCTATTTATTCATGAGTTCTACATTCAGCCAAGTAAATGGAATGGATTTTTTTTCTTTTTTTTTCTAGCATTTTGATGATCGATTATTTTTATTTTATTTCAGTTGATACAAGTGTATAAATTTCTTCCTTTATTTATTGCATCCTTGTTTTTAAAGAATGAACAATGCAGTAGGAATACAAGTAAAAAGAGCAATAAGATGCATGAGGTGCTAGTTAAAACACAGCAACAATCCCCCAATACCAATGATAAGCCAATTGGTAAATAATGACAAATAGAAAATAGTAAAATAGTGGGAGTGCTAACATCACAAATACACTCTAATGTGGATACTTCCCTGAGTATGGTTTAAAATGGAATCATAAATCTGTATAAAAACACAATAAAAGATGGTCTATAAATGACGAATAAAGACCATATTTGGAAATGGGAGTTTTAATTTAATTTTACTTGACACATGTGTGGATCTTTTATGTGTAGTGATGTTCCGAACGGTTCGCCGAACGGTTTGTCACAAACGGTTCGCCACGGACTCATCATTGAGTAAACTTTGACCCTGTACCTCACAGTCAGCAGACACATTCCAGCCAATCAGCAGCAGACACTCCCTCCCAGACCCTGCCACCTCCTGGACAGCATCCATTTTGAAGCTGCATTCTTAGTGAGCTGTCCAGGAGGTGGGAGGGTCTGGGAGGGAGGGTCTGCTGCTGATTGGCTGGAATGTGTCTGCTGACTGTGAGGTACAGGGTCAAAGTTTACTCAATGATGAGTCCGTGGCGAACGGATCACTATTTATGTGTCATTTATATGGCATATATAGCACTGTGTGCTCATTTTTTACACTATTCTGCACCTGAGTAAGATCTATTTTAGATCAAAATGCGTTATGCTGTTATTCTGTTATGCTGAAATTGTGGCTTTTTATTATTACTAAATAAAGTGTCTTTACCTTTCTTGTGCCAAAGAATTCTGCTTTGCTGGGGACTGCAAGCCGACCAAGTGTGGGGAGACCATCTGGTAATTTTATCACATACAAGCAATACCAGCCGGAGCCTGCTACATGAAGCTCTCTTAAATGTGAGTGGTTCTATGTAGTATTTCCTACATTTTTTATTGTATTATATTGTGTATTTTATTGTGTTTTTATGCAGATTTGTGATTCCCTTTAAAACTGTACTCAGGGAAGTATCCACATTAAAATGTAGTAGGAATATTGAAAATAAGATTTTTTTTATTTTTATAGGATTTACATTTTGTTAAAATATAGTATACCCCTCCATAATATTTATATTAGTATATGGGTTTTGAGGACAGCATGTCTCTCATGCTGCACAGGTTAAACTGGTAATGGTTTCAGGAATATATGAATTTCTGTCTCATGGCTATATGATTAGATGAGCCTTCATCTATCAAACTCAAATAGGTAATGCACCATATGACCAGGTGTATATAGAGATCTGGAAATGTAATGCATTTAAAAAAAAAAATCTTCAATTCAAAAGGAAAGAGGAAAGTTCAAGTCAGTTCTTTATACAATCTTATATTGCCTTGATTTGGCAAACATTGAGTTAATTTTTGTCATATTTTATTACTTTTGCAAATGCTTACAAAGCTTGTTTTATGCTTATAAAATTCTGTTAAAGGGATTTTGCTTCAAATGTCTTGTCCTTTCTCTAAAAATAGACACTCTTTGTCATGTATCCGCTACATTTCATTAAAAAAGGCTAAAAAGGGGGGCGGGGCCGGGCGGCCATGCCAGCAGGCTGCATATCACAAGAGCTCCCCGAGGAATCAAAGAAATTCAGGGTATATACCCATCTTACCCGGCTTATACTGACCCGGGGGTCCACGGCAAGAAGCTCTGGAGTGTCCCGGTGTAGCTGGGGCGCCCGAAGCAGGGTAGCCCTAGGTCCTGGTGAGAGACTCTGGGGCTCAGAGATTGAGGCCTACCCGGGAAGGGAGTGAGGCGGACGGCCGCTGCCTCGCTCTCCGCCCCGACAGCAACTATCATTTGCCTGGCGCACTCCTGGTCCCGTTACCCCCCCCTGTGGGCCGGGGGGGTCATCCCGGCCCCCACCGGGCGGGCTACCGCTTTTGCATCTCACCTGGGCGGCCCGAAGCAGTAGGAGAAAGGCTACCACGCGGTCTCATCAAAATGGCCGACTGCTGCACAGCAACTTCGCTGACTGAGACGGTAACCCCTCTGAGACGACACACACACAACCTGAGCTGTTATCACAGGAGGTCCTTACGGGCCCTTGAGCCCCCACACAGCGACACTGGCACATGCATGCTGAGAGATGACAGCCAGCACTACTACCACGTACCCGTGTCAAAGCGGCAATACCCGAAGCGCACTCCGGGCCACATCAGACCGAGCAAGCTCCATCCACGATCGGTGCTGAAAGAATAAACAACCATTGACCGCAAGGTGCTACAGCCCTTGACTGCACACCAAGGCTTACAAGGCACGGCACTCAAATATGCCCATCAACTGGGAAGCTATGGCGGGACTATAGGATCTCATAGGGTAATCTCCAAGAACTCTCCCCACACCTAGGCATGGACTATGACCCTGCTGTTTCACGCTTTGCGCTCAGTTGGAGCTGGCGGTGACCCCAGCCGTTCACAATATGAAGCATAATGTACAGTATGCGTTGACTAACATACACAACCTCTGCATATAACCTTGTATATAGTTAATTTTTGTTTAAGCTTAGTACGTACTGAGGGAGATAGCGGAATGTGTGATGCTCTGCCTGGTGGCACCCTGCTTTAATGATAATATTAGCTAAGCTGGAAACCGAAATAGAACTGCATACTTCTCTATAGTCAGCACTGCGTAATCTATCATAACCTGAACGTTAATTTAATGTTTTACCTACTACATGTTATGCTGTTACTGAACAAAATGTATGTCCTTCGCTTAAGCATAGTCATGCATAACCATATCAATGACACTAAAGCGGTGATACATAACAAAATTCAACCTTAAGCTACTGTTATTAATCGACAAATAATTCACGACAGACGTAGTTACCCAGCTTGTATCTAGCTTGCATTATTAACCAAAAAATGTGCGTTTTCTCTAATGCTGTTCAGCAGTTAGAATAAGTGCTTGTAAACTGTTTGTGAATGCTGTTGTGGCATTACTGATATACGAATGTTAAACCATGCACAGCAAAATAAAAAAAAAAAAAAAAAAAAAAAGGCTAAAAAGACAGGAAAAAATGAGGGCAACATTCACAAATGAATGACCTTTTAATATTTGGAATTAGATCAATGAAGGTCTCTCTTGAATATCAATGGCATATGGCAACCACTTTGCATAAGAAAATTCACTTACAAACAAATATAATCCCATTTTCTGAATAATCAATACAAAATAATATTTATATGAATAATGCCTAATTAGATTAGCAAAATTGAAATTCACAAAAGACATCTCTAGTCTCTAAGCAAACTTGGCATTTGTTGTGTAAAAGAAATGCAACTGGCATTATTTATATAACTTCTTGTATAGCTTCATGAGTGATCACTGCAAATTCAAAAAAGTGGCAAAAAGAAAAGAAAACATGAGATTTGGTTACACACATATAATTAATATTGCTTTTTAACATGACTACACACGTTTATTTGTAATTTTTGGAAAGGTGACAACATAATTCGTAGTTCTCAACAGCACATATATTATGGATATCGCCACTGTAGGCAATTTAGGGTTAAACCGTTTGAGAACGGTGTAACCTCTTGAGCTAAGAGTGCCTCAGAGGGCCAACTGACAAATGAATAAAAGATGTAAAGATGTTAGTTATAAAGAATAATACTATTTTCACTTTAAAAAAAGTGTCTTTAAAGGATACCTGTACTGTAATTTAGTAATTGCAGCATTAGATTCTATTGGTATTTTCATCAATAGAATATGATAACGCATTGCTGCTGTCCCAGCTTCAGGGTTCCATGTGTGCCTTCCCCTGCATGAGTCTTTTCCACCACTCATGGCGGTGCTGAAATGAAGATGAATATCCATTGGTAACACAATTTAATATATATGAAAACATCTCATGTGACCTATTCATTAACACATCAAAGAAAAAAAATCATCAATTGAAACTTAAAGAAAAGAGATTGCAAAGTCATTTTATTTTTAATATGAAATTTGCTGCCTACAAAGTCAGCGCTGAGATACGTTTAGGCATGATGTATAGTTACTTTATTATATGTGTGAAAATATATTACTGTTACATAATGTTTGTAATAGTTGTCATACAATAAATGTCATAAAGCACTGTACTTGTGAAATAAATTGTTACAATACATTTACAGTAATATAGTTAAGTTTATAATGTGAGCAGGGGTACACTAATTATAATGCCTGGATTTCTAACTGCATTCTAATGTGATCACCAACAAGGGATGCCCTGCCTAAATTTCTCACAAAAATAGATCTGTGTAAAATTGATCCCCTTTTTGATAAAATATATTTTAAATTCCTAATAGCTGAGTTTTTCCCAATAATAAACAGATTCCTACCTGACCTTACAAAATGGCAGTTTTGTCTGAGTAATTACTACTGACCTAAATCACAATAACCTACTAGCTAAACGTGATGAGATGTCACTGTGTAGGTCTCTCCTGCACTACAGGTAAAATAAATGCATGCTAACTGATAACATTTACCAAGAAACTATATGCAGTGTCACAACTAAAGACAGAAATTCAAGGAAAAATATTTGCATGTACCAGCACAAGTATATAAACTAAATACCAGGGTCATGCATGTCTAAAGTGCAAACCTAGAAGTACAGTTGAATTTTCTTTAAAAAAAAAAATTGTCCACATTATTATTCAAATGCACATTTGACAATGATTTTATATATATATATATATATATATATATATATATATAATATATATCTACATGCAAGCACTGTTTTAAATAACGCAAGGAATGTATGTACTTTATACATTTTTAAATTTCCTATGCAATACTAATTTGCATATATCTAAAGCCATTCATAATTTTTTTTACTGTTTGTTATTAAAATTGTATCTAGTCACCCTACTTAGAAATAATATGCATTGCTATAACATTTTAATAATACAGCAACTGCTTCTCACATTCAAGGTTATCAATAAACCTTAAAATTATATACATATTCTACTTAAATATACTGAATTGTATATTCTGTACTATTTCACAAGATTTAAGTCTACACGGTATTCAAATGGGAATTTTATGAAAAATATTTTACTTGCAGACAATTAACACTATATACACAAAAAAAACAAGTACAAAATGGCGCTACAATAATGTCCAAAAAGTCTCCTAAAAATAAAATAAATTGTGCACATAATTGTGCAAACAAAAAACAGCACCTAAAGTGCAATAGCCCATAAACATACCAATTAAAAAAACAAAAATATATAAAGGCGCACTGCATCTTTAAGACGTTTTCAATTAATTAGTGCAATGTCGATTTTAAGTGCACATAAATTATTAAAGTGTTTTTGTGCAACACTTAGTCAGAATTATGTGCAATATAATTACAATAATATGTTGCTTAAAATTGTAGACAATGTGGCTTCATCCAATTAGACTCAAAAAAACTGAAAAAAGCACCGTGTAAATCTATTATAAATTATATTAAAACTTTAGGTGCGAAGAAACACTCACAAGTGGAGAGCAGATGTGTCTGCTCTAACTTTTCAGCGTACAAGAATCCCTTATCGGGTCAGTGAGGCAGGTAAAGATACAAGCAGTAGATGCAATCAATATTCTTCAGAAAAATCTTTCCCATTTCACCTCCTTCTTTAAATTCTCTCATGCTTGTTTTGAGGTTTTTAAGGAATGAAGAATCTAATCAGCATAAGTGTGATTTTTTTTTTTTTAGAAAGATGCAAAGGGAATGTAGTATTCTCACCACTGAAAAGAGGAAGGAGCAGAGACATAGAGGATGCAGAGGAGGAGTGTAACTACAACATAGAAAAATGAGGAAGAATGTCAAAGTAGAGGGAGTAATTAACCTGTCCAGCTATGAACCCACACAGAATAAGATTAAAATATTGAATTAAAATTTTAAATATGTAAATATTATAAAGTATTCGAGAGTTCTAACTTTAAAAAGTGTTTTTTCCATTAACAAATATGATAACATAGTGAAAGATAAAAGGCATACCTCACTATGAAATATGTCAAGTTTGTATCCAAGACACTGCAGGACCAGTGCCATCGATATTTTTGAAAAATCAGTTATTGAGGATTTTGAGGAATTATAGAAGAAAACTAAAAAGAAAAGGATACAGAATTATTTGAGTTTTAATGAATGTACTGCTTTGGAAAATCTGAGAAAAAATAAGTAAATTGTCATAAAACCCGCAGACAAAGGGGGTAGTGTGGTGATATAAAACACCACAGATTATATAAAAGAATGTTGCAGACGCTTTGAAGATAAAAGGGTATATACAATTTTGGATAAAGATCCCACTCAGGAATTCAAGTTTCTCTTATTGCACTTTTGGATAGGGGTAAGGAGATGGGAATTCTGAAAGGTAAGGTATATGATTTTCTAAAGGTTTTCTAGTCTTCTATACTTTTCCAAAGGTGCACAAGAGTACACGATGTCCACCAGGTAGACCAATTGTTTAGGGGATTGGCTCAATATCTGTTAGTCTTTCAAAATATGTAGACATTTGGTTACAGGATTTAGTCAAAGCTATCCCCTTGTATTTGAAGGACACTATAGATGTAATTAAAATTCTAAAAGAGATAAAATGGAAGAATTCATACATTCTGGTAACCAGTGACGTATCTTCTTTGTATACTTCAATCTCACAAATTAGTTGGCGAGTAGTACAAGAATACCTTGAAAAATCCCCAAAAGTTACACCAGAACATGTCGAATTTTTAATTGAAAGTATAAGAAGGATTTTAAATAATAACTATTTGAATTTTAAATCTAAGTTTTATTTACAATGTCAAGATACAGCCGTGGGGACCAGGGTTTCCCCCATTAATGCTACAGACAAGTGGTTTAAAATAGAAATTTATACAGAAGAAATACCCCATAAAATTGTTAGAAAAAACATATAAAGTAGTTGAAGAAATGGATCAAAAGGATTTGATTTTTTTTTAAATTCTTTATTTTTCTCATGACACATTGGTCGTCAACAGATAGGATCGTAAAGCATAGTCAGGATGAATAACACAGTAACAGCTTATCAACAGCTTAGTAGATAATAAGAGAAAGGAAGAGCTGCAGTGCTTAGTGTTTAAGTATGCATGTGAAATGATGGTTTTTGGTTTTAAGTAGAGAGCCTGCAAAAGGGTCATATGAGTGAGAAGACCAACGGATTACATTGCAGAAATGTAATACAGGAGTTAGTTGTGTCCATGGTGGTTGTGTCCTTCCC